ACTAATTCAGGGTGCCTTAATACCTGGGTTCCTAGAGGCTCCAACTCTCGGCAGCTGCCATCAAAGTCAGTTGGAGTCTTGCACACAAAAAAGGTGGACCCAAAAAATGAAGGCATCCAATATTAGCTTTAGTAAATATTAACCTCAGCCCTGTTGCACCAAGCTTCCCATCTATAAAGAAAGTGATGATACTTACCCACCTTTACAAAGAACTCAAAGATCTGTGGCTGAAAACTACTAGATAGAAGCTCTCTTCTACCAAGACTTGCACACCTGAGTAATTTAATTGATGTGAGCAGTCTCACTGACTTCAATTTTGCCTACCCACCCCAGTTAAGTTGCTCTGCCACATATGTCATTGCAGGATTCACCTCTGTGTAAACATAATTAAGCAGTGGAGTTACTGGAGGTTTTGCCTAAGCTGGAGTGCAAGATCAGGCCTCTTAATTCTTTCAGTTGTCTGCTTCACTGAATTTTATTCTATGATTTCTACAGAATTAATTAGAAAACTGAATAACTATTAACATTAAACTAAGATTAGTGTATCTTTTCAAACATCAGGAACTTCAAATAATTAAGTAGGCTGTTCAATGCTTTACAATACAAAGCAGTGAAGTGGGGTGGGAGGAGAACATTTAACCCATTTCCAAGAGCAGTTGTGATGCTGCTGCCTGTTCACTATTTGTATTCCTGATATTTAATTAAATAAAAACCTAGTCAGAGATGTATCCCATTGAGTAAAGCAGAGAGGGAATTGAGAATACCGAATTCTTATTGTGGTTTGTTATTAAGGACTGCAATTGTTTTTAGTAAGCAATGGTGAAGTAACAACAGCAGCACCAATGAGAATCAAAAATCTGTATTCAGACAGGTAAACCCGAAGAAGGAAGATACAGAAACTCCAGCATCAATACAGGTTTTTAGGTATTAAATTATACCACCTTTATCCTCACTGCAGCCCTCCAGGATAATGTGAATTAGTTCAGCCCTACTTCTTGCACTAGGGACTAGCACAATTTTTTGGCTACATATAAAATTTTCCATTCAGACATTCTCCTTGATCCAAGGACTTCTGTGACTGAGGTCCTAATTCCTGGTGCCTGCAACTACTGCTGATTAAATGATACGTGTCACTAAATCCAGTTCCTTATTTAAAAAAATGAGAGCATAAAGGGCTTCAGAATCACAGGCAAGGAAACATTAAGGCATTTTTGTGTGCTTTTAAATAGTTTTCCCTTTAATATCAGCTCAGCACCCCTATTAGTCATTCTGCCAACTTCAGCTTCCCCACCCTGTGCGGGTACAGCTGGCCCAAACCCTCGTCTGCACATCTGGAAACTTCAGTTCTCACTTACCCAGGGTGAGGGTGACTCATTTTTGCAGACTGCCTTTTGAATCGTGCAGGAAATGCAAAGAAAACTGCAGTTGGTTGTGCCAATGGCTGAGTGCTTAGGAGGAAGCAGCTGTCACAGCTCGAGCTAGACAGCAATCTCGCTCTGCTGAGCTGTACACCTTAATGCAAACACCCCAGCCAATGCCCCTATGTACTCAGCCTGTACAGCCCTCTCTGCCCCTGGCTGGCTGTACCAAGGCATCCCCAGCCGTTGCTAAGGGAGAACCACGTGGTGATGCTTTGGAAGAGGCGGGCAGAAAAGCTGCCTTAGCCCAATTGATCTAAGGATTGTCTGAACTCCACTGGTTGGGGGATCTGGGCTGCCACTCACGCTGTGTTGCAGGCAGGTTCCCTAGGCTCCTGCAACCTGACACAGACAGACACTGGCCTCTATTTTGTCTGAACTGCACCTAGGGACAGAGGGAAGCATGGCAAAAATGGCTCCGTCTCTTAGGATTTCAGACTGCTGTGCCTGGCAGAGCTTAATCAGGCTTTGTGCAAATACAGAACATCACAGGCTCTGCCCTTTTTTCACTGTGAATTCTCCATCATGTTGACCTTCAACGGGGCTCAGCAATGTGACTCGCAGAGGTGAGCTTTGAGGTACAGCCAGCAAAGGTGACAGGTCCTGCACTACAACACATCCCCTTGGCCAACTAACCCCTTGGAATATTAGCATTTACTTGTACTATGTGCTGTGTGCACAGAGCTTTGCAAGCTAGTAAAACAACACAGTCCTGCCTGGCCCCAAGAGCTTACAGATCATTGGAATCATTCAGCAAACCCTCAGGAACTATATTACACAGACAACAACGCATTGTGGCCATCAAGTGTCAGGAGGCAAGGAAAGAAAAGGAAGGAACGCATAGGAATAGATTGGTTTCATATCATACTAGCTATGACTTTTCTTTCGCCCAACACCCTGGAGCAGACAGGGCCACAGAGCTTTCTGGGCAGCTGGTGTAAGTGGGAGCTCATTACACACCGGGAACTGTGCTCTCCAGGTGTGACACCTAGCATTTCCCATCAGACAATCTGCTACAATTTATAGACACTACATGTGGCCCTTCAACCTCATCACATGGCCTGCACAACCTCCTCAGTACACAGGTGTACAAATGTGTGAAGGCCGTTGTACACCCACTTACTATGTACTGTGGTCATAACCCTCATTTAGGGTGTCTTTTTAAAGACATTATTAAAAATATTACAAATTAAATATAGTATTTTGTGTTAGTAAGAAGCAACAGAAATACTGCTTCAAACCAGACATGACAGACTGTAAAGCCCTGAACTAATAATGTTCTACTCATGACCAATGCGTGCCCCTGGAGGCTGGGGGGGCAGGGCAGCGGTGCAAGCACAGCGGCAGCGGCAGAAGCGCAGCGGCGGTAAGCGGGGGAGCTCGTGCAGATGCTGCCGGTGCTGTCCGTGGCGGGGGGGTGGGGGAGGGTGCTGAGCACCAATCAGGGGTCGGCGACCACCTGCAGACACCACCAGCCGTGTTGGTGGTGGCCAGCAGGGATCACGGACAACCCGCAGACGCCGGCAGCGGTGTCAGCGGCGAGGTGGCAAGTGGCGACTGCCCACCAACAGTGTCAGCAGTGCCTTTTTGTAGGGTGTGCACTGCCATGCTCAGGGGGTGCACATGCACTATGTGTATCCCCTACATGTTGCCCCTGGTTCTACTGGCAGTCTTAAAATTGTGCTTCTCTGCTAGATCAGAGAGTTAATCAGTACAAATATTGAGTCATTCTAGATCCCAGACTGTTACCACCAACATGCGCCATGCACTAGGGAGCAGCAGGACAATCCACTAGAGCAGAAAGGAAAGCAGGCCTGCTACTCAGTTTCCACTGGCCCCATTCCAGATCCACACACCTTCGAAACCTGGCAACAGCAACCAATCTACTGCTAAGCTCATCAACCTATATATGCATCAATGTCTGCTCTACACACTTGCCCTGGCTTCAACCTTTCGTTGCCCATTAGTGCTTTCAAGAGCCAGATAAAAAGCTTTTTTAAAAAAAAAATCAATGGGAGCGTTCTGAAACCAACCAAATTATGCTAACACCAATTTTAACCATGCTTACAATGATTAACAAGATGGGTAGTTAGCCTTTTTAGTCTGAAGTTAGGTAGAAGGCAGGGCAAGATAGCACCTTATAGACCAAGTCATTCAGGAAGGCTTGTGTAGCTTGTCATAGGCTGTGGCCTATTTTGTTCATAGCACCTTATGAAGTAGGCTGTAGCCTGAAAACATCATGCCTCTCTGAATGAGTTAGTCTGTATAAAGAACCACCTGGCCTTGCCTTCTGCCTAACGATTAAAACATGTCCACACAGGAGAGCTGTACCTATTTACTTAAACTGATTTAGACATGAGGCTATTTCTATACCACTTCTTCCTCAAAACCAGGTCTACCATCAAGGAAATAAGCCCCATCTTCTCTCTCCCATTACAGCATGCCCAAGATCTGCAGTTAGAAGGTATAATGGGCTTAAGAGGAACCCAAGTGGCTCCTTTACACCCTCTCCACTTGTACTCAGGTTCTGCCATAGAAACCCTGAGTGCAGCCCAGCAAGAGAGCCACTCGAGCTACTGGGAGCTATTGTCTATTAGTCACTTCCTCCTCAGCATGTAGATTTTCTGGTTCATTCTTGCGAGGTCCCCAAATCCCACCAAAGACTGTTTAACCAGCACGGATGCCTAAATCTGATTTCGGACTCCCTCTGGGTTATATCAAATGTAGAATAAATTCTACATTTGATATAGCCCAAAGTCTAGTGTGTCACAGTTTATTTCACCTCCATTTGTCCCTCTATTGCCTCCCTTCCCACAAAACACCTCCTACCTTAATTCACCATCAGCCTTGAATTGAGATTATCGTGGCTTCTGGTTATACACACTGGGCCCATACAAGCACAGCTGCTACTAAAAGCCACAGTCCAAGAAGCAGCTTCACTTTTATAAAATGATCATTACTGCTTACTTCTCTGAGAGCCATCTGGGAGGTAGGCTTTGGCAGGACTGCTCTTGCAGTTAGACTACCACATTCAACATTTTGTATCAAAACAGTTGGATGCAGAGAAACATGTCTGTCCCAGTTTAGCAGTCTGCCCCCAAAAGAAAAGTGATGTAATGCTGCAAATCCTCTCCTAAAGGCAAGCCACAATGTGGCACTGATTATAGAGGTAGGCGACCAGAGAAGGGATTCAGAAGCAAAAAATACCAAATCTGGGGAAAGAGAAATGAGTCGTGAGAGCATAGGAGTAGAAGGGACCTTCTGGGTCAGAGTCCAATCCCTTGTTATTGCAGCAACTACATCACCTAATCCCAGTCAAAGCTTTTAGATGGAATATGCATTGATGTAGACTGCTTGCCTCCACGCCGCAGGGGAGGGTCATCCATAGTCAGCCACTGCTTTTTGTCTGGTAGTTTAAAATAAATTTGGTCATGGAAAGATTTAGAAAGATGACAGAATTATTTAGTATTTTCTAAGTATATTTCATTTATTGTAATGACAAAAGGTGAGGTGACAAGGAGCTTTTTGAAGCAGAAAAGAATAAGGGATGATCAAAGGATTGGGAATAAAGTACGGCATGCTAAAAGCATTCATGAGGAGGTTGTAGATACTGACCCTGGAGTTGGATGGAGATTTAGCTTAGCAACAACAATAATGAATGCCACAAATGACTTTAGAAAATCCTTGCTCAAAAGCATCCACTGTTAGAGCAAGTGTTGTCAGCTCAATTACTCAATGATGGGCACATTACAGCTCAGACATCAGCAATGCACTCATATTATTTAAAGTTCATTCCAGCAGTTGCAACTCAGAGCTATATCATCCTTGTTGCTGACCAATACGTACTACACATTTTATAGTGCCATATGATAATAACTTTATAGTAACTTCTTAGCTAGTACTCATCTTGTCTTTGACTTAAGGCCTTGTTACATGATCATTTTGGGTGGAGCCCAGATTCTGTCCTAGAGCTTTTAACCCCTGGATTGTCTGCACATTAAAGTGGTTTTAAGCATTCATTATGCATCTTAAAGTTATACCACTCCCGGACACAATTCTCTCTGACCTACACTACCCAGATCTTGTTCCATTAAGGTGTGGCCACGGCCCACTGAAGTCCTGCCCAAGGTGAAGTCCTCCAATATCCCAGGATCCCTCTCACCCTTGCCCATAGAGTAGGGATAGAAACCTATCCTTGCTCACCAGCCCTCTAGTGGCACTTCACAACTGTGCAAGTGTGGGACAGTCAGAGAAGGTTTCTAAACGAAGGGTGTGACTGCTTCAAACTCCAAGCTAGCACGAACATCGATCAACATTTTTGTGGCTCACAACATAAGGTGCAACAAGGCCTTTATAGATCTAAGCTTTCCCAAATTTCATGCCACTAGGCTGCACTGGAAACTTATTAGAAGCCAGAAGCATGAACGACATGTGCCCCAAGAGGCTGGCGAGGCACAGTGACTGCCTGCAGGCAGGAGCTCCCGCAGGCAGCCGTGGCAGTGTCAGCGGTGGGGGGGTAGAGGAGGGAAAGTAGGGGAGAGGTGGCAAGCACTGACCAGTGGTCAGTGACCACCCGCAGATGCCATCAGCAGCAGTGGCAGTGGCCAGTGGTGATCGGCGACTGCCTGCAGATGCCGCCGGCGGTGTCAGCAGCAAGGGAGAGAGGGTGAGTGGTGAGCGGCGACTGCCCACAGGTGCCACTGGCAACGTTGGCGGCACTTCTGTCAGAGGGTGCCTTGCCAATCTCAGGAGGTGCACGTGCACCTGCGCACATCCCCTACACGTCGCCAATGGCCAGAAGCATGCACCTGACAGGATGAAATGTTACTCAGAAGTAAACATGCATATCTGGCAAGCTCTTCATTGCACTCTCTTCACCTGTAAAAGCACAAGTAAAATCACAGATCAACTTTGTCCTTCTTAATTAATGGAGTTAGCAACCAGGAACCAAACTTTTTAGGCTGAATTCAGCTTGACGTTGCAGGTTTGCTCTAACTCCCAGGGAAAAACAGTTCATAAGGCCTATAGGAGACAATTTTTTAAAGCCATATTGTAACCAAAGTCCTGTCTGTCTTCTTAACTCCTGACTATGCCACAGAATAGTACAAGAAAGACTTCTGAATAAAGAGCACTGGAAACAAGAGTTTAAACTCAGCTGTGTCCCCAAGCATGGCCA